ACCCTCGGGGTCCTTCCGTTTTTGTCACAAATGGCTGGATTTCATTGTTTGTTATGGCTGAGTAGTATTCCATTGCGTGTGTGTACCACATCTTCTTTATCCATTTGTCCCTTGATGGGCACCTAGGTTGCTTCCGAGTCTTGGCTATTGTGAATAATGCTGCAGTGAACATAGGGGTGCATGTATTGTTACACATTCGTGTTTTTATGTTCTTTGGATAAATACTGATCAGTGGAATGGCTGGATGGTGTGGTAGTTCTATTCTTAATTTTTTGAAGAATCTCCATACTGTTTTCCATAATGGCTGCACCAGTTTGCACTCCCACCAGCAGTGTATGAGGGTTCTTTTCTCTCCACAGCCCCTCCCACACTTGTTGTTTCCTGTCTTGTTAATTATAGCCATTCTGACAGGTGTGAGGTGATGTCTCATTGTAGTTTTGATTTGCATTTCCCTGATAATTAATGATGTTGAACATCCTTTCATGTGCCTGTTGGCCACCTGTATATCTTTGGAGAAATGTCTCTTCAGATCTTTTGCCCATTTTTTGAGTTCTTAGTTTTTTTGTTATTGAGATGTATGAGTGCCTTATATATTTTGGATCTTGACACCTTATCAAATATATGGTTTGCAAATATCTTCTCCCAATTGTTAGGGTGTCTTTCCGTTTTGTTGATGGTTTCCTTTGCTTTGCTTTTTAGTTTGTTGTAGTCCCATTTGTTTATTTTTTCTGTTGTTTCCCTTGCCTGGTCAGACATGGTACTTGAAAATATGCTGTTAAGACCGATGTCGAAGAGTGTACTGCTTAAGTTTTCTTCTAGAAGTTTCATGGTTTCAGGTCTGATACATTCAAGTCTTTAATCCATTTTGAGTTAATTTTTATGCATGGTGTAAGACAATGGTCTACTTTCATTCTTTTGCGTCTGGCTATCCAGTTTTCCCAACACCATTTATTGAAGACACTTTCCTTTTTCCATTATATGTTCTTGGCTCCCTTGTCGAAAATTAGCTGTCCATAGATGTGTGGGTTTATTTCTGGGCTCTCGATTCTGTTCCATTGATCTGTGTGTCTGTTTTTGTGCCAGTACGATGCTGTTTTGGTTACTACAGCATTATAATATATTTTGAAATCAGGGAGTGTGATATACCTCCAACTTTGTTCTTTTTTCTCAGGATTCCTTTGGCTATTCGGGGTCCTTTGTTGTTCCATATAAATTTTAGGATTCTTCATTCCATTTCTGTCAAAAATGTCATTGGAACTTGGATAGAGATTGCATGGAATCTATAGGTTGCTTTAGGAAGTATGGGCATTTTAACTGTTAATTTCCAGTTTATAGATCTTTCACCGCTTTGGTTAGATTTATTCCTAAATATTTTATTCTTTTTGTTGCAATTATAAATGGGATTGTATTCTTCTTAATTTCTCTTTCTGCTACTTCATTGTTAGAGTATGGAAACACAACTAATTTTTGTGTATTGATTTTTTATCTTGCAACTTGACCATGTTCATTTATTATTTCTGAAAGTTTTTTGGTGGATTCTTTAGGATTTTTTGTCTGTAAAATCAGATCATCTGCAAATAGTGACAGTTTCACTTCTTCCTTTCCAATTTGGATCCCTTTTATTTCTTTTTCTTGCCTAACTGCTCTGGCCAGGATTTCCAATACTATGTTAAATAAGAGTGGTGAAAGTGGGCATCCTTGTCTGGTTCCTGTTTTTAGAGTGATAGCTTTCAGTTTTTTTCCATTGAGAATGATATTAGCTGTGGAACATGGTATATCACTTCATTTATTTAGGTCTTTAATTTCTTTCATCAGTATTTAGTAATTTTCAGTGTACAGGTCTTATATGCCTTTTGGGAAATATATTTCTAAATATTTCATGTTTTTTTGCTGTTATTGATACATTTTTAGAATGTAAATTTCCAATTGTTTTTTGCTAGTACTAGTATATATACTTTCTAGTCAATTATCTTTTTAGAAAAGTAAAACATAAGAGAAGCAGCCTTGGTTTGATATATTATGTTTGAATTTTCATTAGTTTTGTGGGCATGTCTTTCTCATTTTTTTAATAAAAACTTTGTATGGGAATTGACTAGAATTGTTTTTAGGCGTTATTTCTTCAAATATTTTCTTCTGTCCTTCTCCCATTCTCACCTCTCTTCCTGAGATTCCAGTTCTTTTCTGTTATTTGTGCTTAAGAGAGATGGCTTTTCCTATGCTACTTTTACATGAGGAGAGTTAGGCAGGTTGGCTTTCCTAGGTTTGTGGCTCTAGGAATCCTCTTCTGTTATGTGGTATTCAGCAGTATACTTTCTGAGACTTTTTCTCTTCTCTTCCCTTCTTTTATCTAGACCAGGGTTTTTCACCCTCTGCAATATTGGCATTTTGGGTCAGATAATCTTTGCTGTCAGAGATTGTCCTGTGCATTGTAGGATGTTTAGTGGCATCCTGGCCTCTACCTGCTAGATGCCAGTGATCACCATGTGGTGTCCCCCTTCCCTTCAATTATGACAACCAGAAATGTTTCCAGATATTGTCAAATGTCCCCTGGGAATTAGAATCATTCTAGTTCTAGACCTTGTTTCTTTTACCCCTAGTGACTCTGTATTGCTTAGTTTGGATTCTCCTCCTGGCGGTTTCTGCTTGATGTGTTGCTTTGTCTTAGAAGGGAGCCTCACTTAGTTTTGAAATTTCTGATCTTTCTATGATCCTGTTATGTTTACCTGTGAGTTGTGGCCTGTGAAACTCGCTTCCAATTTTGGTTGCTATCCTGCACTAAATTAGATGCCTCAATTTGAAGAAAGGGATGGCCAGGTAGTACTTAAGGGCAATTTGATTTCTGGCTGTTCTGGCTTCAGGGCTGTCCAAAATCCCTTTCCTCTTCTTCCTTTTTCTTTTGGTGAGGAAGATTGACCCTGAGCTAACACCTGTTGCCAATCTTCCTCATTTTGCTTGAGGAAGATTATTCCTTAGCAGACATCTGTGCCGGTCTTCCTTTATTTTTTGTATATAGGACACTGCCACAGCATGGCTTGATGAGCAGTTTGTAGGTCTGTGCCCGGGATCTGAAGTGGTGAACCCCGGGCCACTGAAGCAGAGTGTTTGAACTTAACCACTAGCTACCTGGCTGGCTCCTCCTCTTCTTTCTTAATGTTGCTGATACCATCTGGGTCTTGCTGCTGTTGGTGTTTGGTCCCAACTATTCATATTTTGGTGTTCATGATTGATACATAGTCAATTAATTGTGTTGTATTTGTTGGCTGTGTTTGTTTTGTTTTGGTTTGATCTATTTGTTTTGTTCTCCTCACTATTCTTTTTGCATGGGTGGTTTATTTGGGGATATTAAAAAATTATGTCTCATTCGTTGCCAAGTTGCCTGGACTGCCTCTGCCTTCTTAAAATGAGTTCTAAACATGATAAAAGAAAATGTTTTAAATGCTGGGTGAGACTTGCGCTTGGTCTTGGACTCCGGGGAAGGCCTAGAGAGCGAGAGGTTGAAAATGCAAGAGAGCCCGGAAAACTCTAGAGGTATTTGTGTCCTGGAGACCACCAGAAGGCTTGGATACAGAAGTGTTGGTGAGGGGTCAGCTTTGAACAGAGGAGGAGGACAGTTTGTCTGACAGGAGAGGTGAAGAGATGAGATTTCATTCAGATATGTTAGTTTGCAAGTTTGCACTTAGCAAGCTGACTTGTCACATCTGGTATCCTCAATTTTCTTGGTAAACTTTAATGTGAAGTTATCTGCTAAATAAAGTGAGGTAAGTGTAGGGGGCTTGAAGAAAATAGTAAAGATTTTGGAATGGTGATGGTGTAAAATGGGAGCCATATCTCACCAGAGACGTGAAAGGGCCAACCTTAGGCTAGTCCTGTAACTACAAATTTGAAAGATGCCAATTTTGTGGTTTTTAATTTTTTTCAGTTTCATTTCTTAGAAACTCAGATATAAGAGCAGAGAAGGTGATTGTTCATATGGACTTAAGACTAGGATTTTGCAGGACAGGTGTTAGAGCATGACAAGGGAATAATGTTGTTGTGGAGCATGGACTGGATACGAAAGGAAATCACGCTGTTCAGGTACTGATGGGTCAGGAGAAAAGGGGAGATTCAAGGGAATTCGGGTCTGTGTGGTTCTAGAGCAGGTATGAGGGGAGTAAGAAAGTAAGAATTGGACAGATTGAAGCCAAGATAGTATATTGAAATTTAAAATTTCACAGCTAGAGAAGTTGTATTTTATTGTAAAGACCACATTATGCTATGAGAGTGTAACACTGATGAAAAATATTGGAGTAAGAAGTAGTTTAGAAATGGTGGGAATATGTTGTGATATGTAGCCCATTATAGGTAAGGAAATCACCTACGAGGATAGCAAGAGTTAGGTTGGAGGGGAAAGTGTGAACCAGATAGGTAGATAAACAGGGAGATCCATCTGTAGATGGCAACGAGAAGACAGGGTTCAGAGCAGTGTTGTAAGAATGGGGAAGAGGGTGGTTTGCATGAGCATGGAAGACCAGGGACTTTTCTTTCAAAGTCTGTTATATGTCTTATGAATATCAGGGATTGGGCAAACTTCTTTAAAGGGACAGATAGTAAATATTTTAGACTTTGCCACTCACATATGGTTCTTGTTGCATGTTTTTATTTGTTCATCTTTATAACCCTCTAAAAATGTAAAACCATTCTTAGGTCGTGTACCATCCCAAACCAGGCTGCTACGGAAGGTTGTAGTTTGCTGCCCCGTGGATTATACTCATTATGAATGATCTGTGACTGTACTTTTCTGTGACTTGTCAGTGGTACTTTGCTTTGTCAAATTAGTAACTGTTTCAGATACTAAGTGACTTGTTACTTAAGTAAGAGTAGTTTTGTGTTGGAAGGTGTTAAGGAGATAATATATATTTATTTTTTAAATACCGTCGGTAGTATTGTTTTACACTTCTCAGTATGGTAATTACTTTTACTTTTCTAAACAAAATTTTTACTTTTTTTGCGGTGAATTCAAGTTGAGTCAGCAGATATTGGAGCTATTTGAAGCATGTCAGCAGCAAGTAAGCGATTTAAAGAAGAAAGAACTCTGTCGAACACAGCTGCAGAGAGAAATTCAGCTGTTATTTCCACGTACGGTTCCCTATTTTGCATGCCCTTTTTTGTATATGCATTCTGATTTAAAATTTTAAATAATACCTTATAATTCTCTTCTATTTCTTTAGAAAGCAGACTTTTTTTGGTGGGATCCTCTTTGAATGGATTTGGTACCCGGAGCAGTGATGGTGATTTATGTCTAGTTATTAAAGAGGAACCAGTAAGTAATGAAACATTATTCCAACTGTGTTTCTTGTGTTAAGTCATTTAAGAAATTTCATATAAAAGTCATTGAAGAAAATAACTTTTTTTGTTTTAATTACTTCTTTGGATTCTCTGTTTATAATAATTCAAGGAAGGCTAGGAAATGCTTCTTTTTCTTTTAAGGCATGTGCCCAGTAAACATAATAGGAATTTTAGCATTCATTTCTAAGTTGTTAAAGTGAGATGGCTTCACTGTCTTTTTCAAGAGCTGTGCCTCTATTTTGAAACATTATTGGGATGGGTATGTTACCAGGATGCAGTAAAGAAGGAGAGCATGTGTCAGTATTATCTTCTTGATATATTTCCTTTCCATTTGAATTCTCCATGATTGTATTTTCAATGTTTTATCTTATTTCCCCTTGAAAAGGCTATGGGGTTTGGAGTTCTTATTTTGGGAATACAAAGAGATTTCACTGAAATTTAAAATAAGACTATTGTGATTTAATAAATTTTTCTGATATTTTGGCTTTGTTTCTTCTCTTTATTTTTACTTAGCAACCAAATTTTCTTCTTTAGTATTATGTTTATTTGAATTTCCTGTTAACTGATACTCTTGTGTATCCTTAATACCACAGTAATTGGTGTTCATTAAGCTGACCTGAAGCAGCCTCTTTAATATGCCGAGGTCTCTTCTGAATTACCAAAGATTAATTTCAGTATAATTTAATGTGGCTTATTATATTCCACCTCTTTATAAATATAAAAAATATATTGAATAGTAATATATATTTTTACTGTTTCTATTATCCCACTAACAAAATTGGCTTCCAGTTACTGCAAATCAGAAAGAGATTTATTCTGGGAAAGAAACTCTGATATTTCCTAGGCTTTGAAATCATATAAAGGAACAGTAAAGAAACCCTTCAGAAATAATAAACATAGCGGAAAATATTAGAGTTTTAATTAAAACTTCCTCATGCAAGTAGACTACACTTGGGCACAGGCCACTAATCCTCCAGTCTTCTCCACATGTTTGAATCAGCTTGTCACAATCATGCTCACACTGAGACACCACAGATGTGACCCTTATCCCTGAGCAGCTCGCAGTCTAGAGAGGGAAATACATGATGTTGCAGAAAGTTAAAATTCTGTTTATTTTTCTTGGAAAGGATTACTTTTTGTAGATTAGTACTAAAGGAAAAAAATGACGTATATGGCTGCTTCGCTATTTCTTTTAATGTTGCGCTTTAAGTTTAAGATCAGGAATTGATTTAGAAATGTTGATGTGAAGACAGCAGAAAGGTTGACTTTTTCTATAATGTAATTTAGTGAATAGTGAGAAATAACTCCAAAGAAAAGTATACTTTGTATGTTTTCTCTTTGTTGAGATACATTAAGAAAATAAAACACTAAGTTTAGAAAGATAATGAAAAAACACTTTATTTTTAACTTTTCAGTGTTTTTTTCAGGTAAATCAGAAGACTGAAGCACGACATATACTCACCTTAGTCCATAAACACTTCTGTACTAGACTTTGTAAGTTTGATATGCCTCAAGTTCCTATGTCATCTGACATAAGTATTTATTTATAGTGTCTCTCACTTTATTTTCTGGTAAGAATTGTTTATTTTCTGGTCAGGATATGTATAATGTGGATCCTTTTTTTCCAAATGAATTCCTTTTACCTTTTGACTAAAAAGAAGAGTAACATTTATTCGGCAATTCTTTATTGAGTTTACTGAATGCAGTGGGGAATTCAAAGATATCATAAGCTTCAGTTCTTTTTCTCAAAAGGTTATATACTGTTAGGGAAGCTAATGCATGAGGATAAATAGCTGTAATGCAAAGTATCTGTGAAAACCCGAAAGAGTGATACAGATAAAGTCTTTTAAGTATTCATGGGAGGGAGAGAGAATTTCGTCTGTTTTCAAATTATATGCAATTTATGACATCAAATTTTAAAAATATCACTAAACATGAAGCCCAAGGGAATTATTCCAACAGAAAGCAAAATTGTTGACTTGGACCATATTATTGTAAGATTTTGTGTAAGCTCACTAAGCAGATTTTCATCCACATTTTAAACCGTCTCAAATAATTTATTTTAAACTTCCAGAGAATATTGTGGACAGTTGAAGCCACACTATGTGATGTTGGAAAGACATTTGTCCATTTGTTTAACAGATATTCCTTATGTGTCAGGCTTTGAGCTGGAAAATACAAAGTCAAGTAACAAGTTATTGCCCTTGAACAGTTTATATCTGTTGTAGGAGAGAAATAAATCAAGTGATTTATTTCGGTGGACTTAAGTTTTCACATCTGTAAAATACAGGAATAATTCATATCTTAAGTGGATTTTTAATAGCTATTAGAATCATAAAATATTAAAAATGGAAGGGACCTTAGAGATCGTCTAATTCAAATGAAAGGTTTTTTTTTTCCCTTTGGTTGTTGTTTTTAATAGTTAAGGAGACCGGTGATCAATCGGTTTAATAATTTCCCTGAGGAGTATAGTTTGTTCTTTGGTGTCAGAACCTGTGGTCAGAACTCGAAACTTTCAACTCCTAATCTTATTTCTCGCTAAACCTCACTGAATTCTTGCCTATAAATTCTCTTTGAAGCCTGGTGTATTTATTATTTTGCTCATAAAAAGCATTATAACAAAATTTTTAGTTTTTAAATCTGGTCTTACGGTTTTCTTTAGTTAAGACTTAAGAAATTGCTCATTTGGGAGAAATTTGCAGTTTCTTTTTTCTACATTGCTGTATTTTCCTAGTTTTCTAAGTTTTCTACAATGAACATTATTACTTTCAAGTCAGAAAAACATTTTTTTTTGAAGTTTGATGGAGTAAAAAATATGTGTATGTGTTCTTCCTCTCAGAAATCATGCTTATTTGAACGTGTCGCTGCCCCTTGTATCATGTTGCAAGCGTTTCCACATTTAAGACTGTTTGTAAATATGATTTATATGGCTGTTATAATATCTTGCCATGTGTTGTGCCAGAATTTAGCTATCCCCCTGTTGCTATCCTAGATATTTTTCATAACGCTCTGATGAACTTCTTGATAAATGTTATTAGATATTAGACCACATTTCTGAAAATAACTTTAATAGCCCCCTAATCCAGTCTTAGAAGAATTCAGTAATGTCCTTTCTGTGCTTTCTTTCTCAAAGACTGTGTTTTCTTTAATTGTTTTAGCTTAGTAAAATGCTTTTTTTTAAAAATGTGCATTGGAATACTATGAATTTGAGAAACACTTACAGATATTCTCATTATCTTTTACCCTTCAGCTGGCTACATTGAGAGACCTCAGCTGATTCGAGCAAAAGTGCCAATTGTGAAGTTCAGGGATAAAGTCAGGTAAGTAATTATTGAATTCCCTTTTTTCAGTTGCTTTAGATCATTTTTAGATATTCTTTTGATGTAGATAATTAAGAAATGTATGTTATAGCATAATAGCTTATTGTCATCAGTTTTGAGAAATCACTTGATTTGGTCTTTGAAATGGTTTTTTAAAATAGTCTGCTCGCTTCTTCATGCTTAACTGTACTTAGTTATTCTGCTTGACATTTTGAAAATTTGAGACTATCCAATTTAAGGAATATATGCATATTTATATTTCAGATTTTTAAATGATCTCTTTCCTTTTGGAAATGTAATGCACTCTTAAGAACATATCTTAATTGATGAAATTTGATGTATATTTGTATCAAGGGAATTGTTGTAATTATGTCTATCTGTATATTCTACCAGCCTGAGTTCTGAATTTCTTATGAGCATTGGAATTAGAATCTTTTATATAGTATCTGAATATAAAATGTAAATAGTTAGGTGTTAACTTTCATTGGTTAAAAAAGAGTTGTTTTCTAAAAAATAGATAGTATTGTGATAAATCAGGTTTTTCTAGCCTAGTTTTATAAAAGTAATACTGAAATTGTTTATATAAATGTAAGTGTAAATATATACACAGTTGATCCTCATTATTCATGGATTCTGTGTTTACGAATTCTCCTACTTGATAAAATTTATTTTGTAACCTCAAAGCCCCCCAAATTGATACTTGCAGCACTTTCATGGTCACTCCTACACAGGGCAGAGTGGGGAAAATTTTGAGTTACCTGATGCGCTTATTCCCAGCTGAGGTTAAAAAATGTGACACTCCACCTTCCTGTTTCAGCTCTCATACTGTAAACAGTTGTCCTTTTCATGATCTAGTTAATGCCATGTTTTTACATTTTTGTGCTTTTTGTGGGTGAGTTTGCTGTTTAAAATAGCCCCTAATCATAGTGCTGAGATACTGCCTAGTGTTTGTGTGTACAGAGCTGTGATGTGTGTTATGAAGAAAATACCTGTGTTAGATATCCTTCGTTCAGGCATGAGTGTTCTTGGCCATGACTTCACCATTGTGGATCAACAATATATTAAATAAGGTGTCTTGAAACAGACACACACAAAGCAAAGTTACATACTGATCAGTTGATGAAAATGTTGTGTCTGGGGCCAGACCCAGAGCCCAAGTGGTTAAATTGGGCATGCTCTGCTTTGGCAGCCTGGGTTTGGTTCCCAGGTGTGGATCTACACCACTTGTCTGTCACTGACCATGCTGTGGTGATGGCTCACATACAAAAAGAGGAAGATCGGCAGTGGATGTTAGCTCAGGGCGAATCTTCCTAAGCAAGAGGAAAAGAAAAAGGAAGAAAATATTGTGTCTGGAGACCCATGGAAACCTAACCCTTTGTTGCCCCTAGGAGCAATGGTTTAGTATTCACAAATTCAGCATTTGCAGCAGGTTTATAGAACATGACTACTATGAATATCAGAATTGACTGACTATATATATGTTTTAAACAAATCTCTAGATATATGCCTGGCTCAGACCTTCCCCTCCATTCATTCCAACATCCATCCCATCTATAAATATTTACTGAGTTTTTATCAAGTAAATAACAGAAATTTCTAAAGCATAAAGATATAGGGAGATAAAACATAAACTAAACATAAAACGATTAGCTAATTATAATTGTTTTTAAAAATATATGATTGTAGTTATATAAACAATTTAATCTTTTTCCATTTAGGATTATTATACAATTTTTTTTCATTGTTAAGTATTCTTTAAAATACCATTTTATAATTCTTCTCTATACAAACCATTAAAAACTCCTAATACCGAGAGATAACTGATGTTAATGTTTTGATGTAAACTTATCAGTCTCCTTTCTGTGAATATGAATGCATAAGAATTTTTAAAATTAAAATTGAGATCATACTTTTTTACTTAACCATATATTGTGAATACTTATATCATTGAATATTTTCTGGCTTCATTTTTAATGGCTTGACAGTATTTCATTGAGTGAGTATATAGTCATTAACTTACCCATTCCTCTATTAGAATAAGCATTTTGTGCATAAAATTTTTTCCATATTAAGGATTACTTTAGTATTTCTGGAAGTAGAATTTGAAGCAAGTACTGTGGATATCTTTAAAGCTCTGAATTCATATTTTTGGAAACATTTTTAATTGCGGACTAGTTTTCATCCAAGTGTTTTTTCTGTTCTGTTGAGTTATATAGAGGAAGTGCAAACTGGTTTCCGCAATAAGACTTGCACAAACAAAATTAAAGATTATAACTCCAGGGGGCCAGCCCTGTGGCCGAGTGGTTAAATTTGCACACTCCGCTTTGGTGGCCTGGGGTTTGCTGGTTTGAATCCTGGGTGTGGACCTACACACTGCTCATTAAGCCATGCTGTGGCAGAATCCCACATTGAAGAGCTAGAATGACTTACAACTAGGATATGCAACTATGTACTGGGGGTTTGAGGAGATAAAAAGAAAAAAAAGAGGAAGATTGGCAACAGATGTTAGCTCAGGGCCAATCTTCCTCACCAAAAAGCATACATTAAAAAAAAAAAGAAAGAATATAACTCCATTGTTACCATAAGTTTCTCAAAGCCAAAGTCATATGATATCTGAAGTGTTAATGCCACTATCTTTTTTTTTTTTTAGATATTGGCACCTGAGCTAACAACTGTTGCCAATCTTCTTTTTTTTTTCTTCTTCTCCCCAAAGCCCCCCAGTAGGTAGTTTTATATTCTAGTTGTTAGTGCCTCTGGTTGTGCTATGTGGGACACCGCCTCAGCATGGCCTGATGAGCGGTGCCATGTCCATGCCCAGGGTTTGAATGGGCGAAACCTTGGGCCGCCAAAGCGCAGTGTGCAAACTTAATCACTTGGCCACGGGGCTGGCCCCTGCCACTGTCCATTTTTATCAATGTGAATGGATAATTGGAAGATTATAGAATTTCTTTCCCCAAAACAAGAAAATCTGAATGGTAAATTTCAAATTTTATAAGTAAAAGCTGTAGAAAGGAAATTTGTTGTTTTTATTTTAGGCAGTCTTTTCATAGAAAAACTCATTGTTCAGAAGTTGGACCTGATAGTATTTGGGTCCATTACTTATACATTAAGTAATCTTTCCTTTTATTTTGAGTTTAGCCATTCTTTATAGATCCGATTATTATTGTCCTATTTTCTAAATTGTGAATTGCATGGTATCTTTGCTTTCAAAGAACTATCGGTTATGTGTTTGGTGTAGTTCTTCCCAGATATCAGTGGCTATATTTGGCATGATATTATAATTTTCCAACCTTTTGGGAGGGAATATAATACATAGACAGCTTTTGTTTTTTCACCTGTGCTTTATTTGGCTTTTTATTCCTACTGTTTTAAAGCAAATGATGCTATAATTCCACATTAGGTGAGAATATATAACTTAGTGGGTTAACTTGCCCAGAAATGTTTTTGGTCACATTATTTTATCTGGAAAGGATTGCAGAATTTTAAAATTTCTTTTGGTCAGGATAAGTGGAGCCTTAGCAGTACATTACAGATCTTTAACAGTAATCCTATTTTATATTTCTAATACACACTATATCATATTAAAATGGTATACTGAGTATATATTCATTCTTACTTCTTTAGCGCCTCATTTGAAAGTCCTTGGCCTTTAGGCCATACTATTTTTGCATCATTGGATGGATGGATATTAATTTAGTTATGGGGAAATTGTTTAATTTGTACTTGAGTTAAAAATTTGTTTTTTTTTAATAGTTGTGTGGAGTTTGACTTGAATGTAAACAATATTGTTGGAATAAGAAACACATTCCTTCTGAGAGCTTATGCATACCGTAAGTTTTTTGTTTGTTTCTAAATAATTATCAGCTTCTCTGTTTATCTTTTATTCTTTTTAAAGATGTTTGTAGTAAATAGTGACATCTCTTTTCTTGTGTTTATGTATAATGTCCATTTTATTATATGCGTACTATGTTGCTGCACTAGCATCATATACTATCAGAGTTGTAGGTCAATAAAATGAATTTTAATAATATATAATTTTTAGAAGGCAACTAAAGTACATTTTAGAAGTAAGGCACATTTATGGTGAACACAGTATTTAATACACAGGGAAGCAATGTTCTTTTTGTTGGCGTGGAATTGGGAAATGATGTGAACTTTCAAAGAAACTGTAATATCTTCTTACCATTTTTAAGTTTTAATTTTACTTTCAGTTGAAAATCGAGTTCGTCCGTTAGTACTGGTGATTAAGAAGTGGGCGAGTCACCATGAGATAAATGATGCCAGTCGTGGTACTTTAAGCAGCTATAGTCTTGTATTGATGGTTTTGCACTATTTACAAAGTAAGTATTACAGGTTTTCCCCAATGTTTTAAATGGAAATGCAGTTAAACTTCATTATGGTGTCTTCCCTGTTGACCCTACCTTCAAGTAGCATTGTTTTAAAAAGTTCTTTGTAAGGCCCATAAAACCATATTTCCTATTTTTTTGCTTTGAACAAATGTTTTAGAAATGTTATTCCCTGAAAAACATTATAAAGAAGTTTCACTGTTTTATTCTTTTGACAGTTTTCTATATTCACTTTTGTATTCAAAGAACTTTTACCACTGTATTGTGGACCATTATCTTGAGGCGCATGAATGTTCAGAAGGCCTATAAAAATAAACTCAAGCACCATCCATCGTGTTTTATGTTTTTCACTTGAGACAGGAATTAAATGATTTTCTTGTTGGTCAAAGAAGCTTTTATTCCCTGTGAGCTGACGTGGAGATTGGGTGGAAGTCTTGAGGTTAATGTAATGGAAGACCATTTTCCAGGATGTCTAGGTCTGATCTGTTCTGGGTTAATGATATTTCCACAGTTTAGAAAGCAGTGTTGTAATATTTGTATTCGTACCCTTTGAGTTTATGATTCCATTTCTAAGAATTTATCCTAAGGTAATTATCAGGGATGCGTATATGGATTTATATATATGGCTGTTTTTCATGGAGTTTATTGAAATAATAAAAGATTAGAAATAATCTTAAGTTTTTAAGAATGGGAGAATAATTAAACTAATTATAATATGTCCTACTGTGAAATTTACACAGCCACTAAAAATCACGTTTTCAGGATATTTATGATTTAAGAAAATATTCATGATATTGTCATATATAACGTGATACCAGTTTTATTTAAAAAATGATAATTATGGGGCTGGCCTGGTGGTGCAGCGGTTAAGTTCGCATGTTCTGCTTCTCGGTGGGCCAGGGTTTGCTGGTTCGGATCCTGGGTGGGAACATGACACCGCTTAGCACACCATGCTGTGGTGGGCATCCCACATACAAAGTGGAGGAAGATGGGCATGGATGTTGACTCGGGGCTGGTCTTCCTCAGTAAAGGGAGGAGGATTGGCAGTAGTTAGCTCAGGGCTAATCTTCCTGAAAAAAAAAAAAGTTCCTAGCACCTAAAATGATCAATAAATGGTACTTAACTGTTAAAAAAAAAAAGATAATTATATTTGAGTTTGTATGTGTGTTAATTTGTATACAAATATTGAAGAGGTGTGTGCCAAAAATTTATCAGGGGTTATTTATGTACACCAGGATTTGTTTTCTTTATATATTACTGTGCTTGTAGATGTTTTATAATATATGTTAAATGAGAGTATATTATTATTTGAACTATAGAATCAGATAAATTTTTTTGAGTTAGTGAAAGAGACATATAATTAAATGGGCCAAAGTTTTATGACTCGGTCATCAGAAAGGTTAGATAATCTTCCTCTTTGTTGTTAAAAAATTTCAAGCTAATTTTAATACATGTATTTTTATTGCTGACTAGTCTTGGATATACACTAGTTTGATGATTGATTTGCCTTTCTCAAAACATTTGAAACATATGATGTTGACTGTTTTAAATACTACTTTCTATCTCTCTAATCATTTTTTGTCCAGTTTTTTAGTTCAGTCTGAAACATGTTACTTTTGATGCTTTTTTAGTGAACTCTGTCCCCTTGTGGATTACAGTTCACTTTTATTAAAAATTGAATAGATTGAAATATTTCTTATAAAATATAAAGAATAATATGACAGGTACTCATGTACCACCACCTACTGTGTATTCATTCCTTTGTTTCAGTTGTGATTTAAAAATTAGATTTGACTAAAGCGTTTACCATACCTGAGCATCCATAGTATGTGCCCTACCCCCTGTTCTTATGGTTTATGTTAGAAATTTTAATTTGATTGTCTTCTTTAGAAAATGTACTTTAATCCCAGATGCCCCGAAGTGGTTTTGCAAGCAGGTTGAAAATTCAAGCATTAGTATTTTACCAGTGTAGTGAACTTATGTTAAAATTATTTTAGATTTTGTTAAACATATTTTTTTCTTGACAAAGTGGTCTCATTTACTGATGTTGGTTTGTAATTAATGGTACTATCATCAACCATTTCTAGGCCTTTGTTAAAGGATGTCAGCTTTAACAAACACCAGACCTAATGTAACCCTATACTTTGGCAAATTTAAGCTACTCCTGCTTAGAATAAATTAGAGAGATTGAAATAAGTAGTTGCTTTTTCTGTTATGCAAGTGTCTGCAAGATGTATTGAGCAGTTCCAGTTCTGCCATAGTGAGCTAGTGTTTTGTGATTTATTCCACCTCTCTGGCCTTAATATTCTTATCTGTGGCAGGAATAGTTGGATCAGAGGACTTTTAAGTTTTGTTTAACTTCATAAATGACTTAATATCTTTTCTGCCATGAACAGAGAAAGGAAACAGGTTCTCTGTAGAAAGATTGAAAAGATTAACTAAAGCATTTTTTAGAATGAACTTCAACAGTCAATAATAGATGACATATGCTTGAAAAGGTGACTGGTGAAAGCAAGGGGAAAAAGGCATTGAGAAGAGATTTTAATGGCAATCTAAGATTGAGTTAATAATACAGGCAAAAGTATAAATTGGTTAGAATTAATAATATGAATGAATATTCGTGGATGGTTTGCTGTGTTACCAGGTACAGAACTATCTTAGGCATTTTTAAATTTTTTTTGTATTTTCAGAATTAGTGGTTGCTTAGTGTTGTTGAAGATCTGCTCTTTTAGAAGAGTGAAGTCCGCAGGTTTGAAGTCCAATAGAACACAGCCGGAGTCTCCCAGAGTGTGTTTGAGGTCCAATAGAACACAGCCGGAGTCTCCCAGAGTGTGTTTGAGGTCCAATAGAACACAGCCGGAGTCTCCCAGAGTGTGTTTTGCTTTGGAGTAACATAAGCATTTGAAAACTACTGAACGCTTTGAGGTTACTATCAGGAGAGTGTTAGTGAATAACTGCCGCAGTACACTGAGTGCTTCTGTAATGACCGGTATTTTTAAATCTTTAAGGTTGTCAGACAAGGGATTTACTGAATGATATCCCTGCCCCCAAAAGCTGAGTTCTAAAGGCTTCTTGTCTGTTGAAAGGCCCTAACTCAGTGGTTAGTATTTGTTTTTCTCTTCTAGCGTTCTAGTTATGATTCAAGAGTGAGAGGTTTTTTTTTCCCTAATTCTGTATAACCCTTTCTTCATCTTTTTTTAAATTGAGATTTTATTTTACTAGGAGTATTTAGTGGCAAAGAAATTCAGGTTTTTACATGAGTAAACTAATTTCTAGTAAGATTTTCTAATTTGGCTTTTCTATTGTAACAAAAATTACTAGAAAGCCATTTTAAAATGTTATACAAATACAGAGACTTTTAGAATTAAAGTGGCTGGGGCTTGAGTTTGTTTGTAGGGGCTTCTAGGATTTTGAACTTTTGAATACCTCTGGAGAAAAAAATATGTATCCTTACTTCCTAAGAGTGATTTTGGTAAGTAGTGAGTGAGGCTTTTCCCCTAATAGTCAGATACTGTGAACATTCTAGACTACCATGAAATTTCATTTTATTCAAATTTTCCACTTGGGAATAAAGCATGATACAGAAGGGAGATTTAAATACTATATGGTAGAAATTTATACATTTATAGTCATAATTGGAGACCATGTAAATTGGTCATAATGTTTGATTATACGTACATTAATGTATTCCAGAAGTCATTTTTTAAAAGTTTGTGCTAAATAGCAAATTAAAAGTGAATTAAAGTTTGTTACTGAGTTTATTTAGTTATATGCATTATTTCTAATTCTTAAATACATAGTTTATCATACGGTACTGTATTTGGTCTTTAATCTTAAAGAAATCTTGAAAATGCATTATTTGTATCTTATCATACTCAAGACATCATATTTTAATTATTTCTTATATAGTGAATATTAGACACTTTGCCTTTCATGCCTTTCCATTTACATTGTAGTTATGTGAAATTACTATTAATGCATTTACTGAGGTTGGATTTGGATAAAACTATTAAAGGGTGAAGAGTGACAATTAAAAAATATAGTAGCATATGAAGATAGTGATTTCTTTATATGAAATTTTATTTATTTTATAGTTTACTGGTGTAAATTTTCTAATTCAGATTTCTAATTTTGCTGAGGCTTTCCTTTGTAAAATTAATTAATTAAGTTGAAGGTTTTTTCAGGGTTTTTTCTAGTAGATCAATTTCCTAAGACAATCTATTTTGGTGTTATTGTTTATTAGAAGAAATTAAATAATAAAAGGACAGTTATGATAAACTGTTGTTCTTTCATGATGTAGTATCATTGGCCTGTATTTAAAAAAAAATTTTTTTTGATAGTAACATCCATCTTAACAATGTCCATTCAGTATCTGTAGAACAGTTCTTGTCTTGCTTATTTTGTGTGTGTCTGATGTTGGACCAAATGATGTGTGTCCGTTTATTGATGCCCTATTATTCTAAAACCATGTAATGAACATTGGTTTATATAGATATATATGTAGATATATATATAGCTTATTAGCAAATCTTAAATTGTCAACTTAGATATATTTTGAATTTAAATCTTTAGGGATCAGAATTAATTTCACAAAATATATGAAAACTGTTGAGCAGAAACCCTTATAGTCTCATACCTGGAGTGTAGCTGACAAATTATTGCTTTGTAAAATGAATTATGTGAATCACAGAAGCTTTAAACTTTTTTTTTTATAGCCCTACCTGAACCCATCCTTCCATCCATCCAAAAAATTTACCCAGTAAGTGTTTCTTATAAATTATTATAATACATATTATGGCAAGTATATGTGGAACTATTATATGCAATATTAATGTGAATATAAAAATAGTAATAGTTACCTTCTAAGTATTTGATAACATTTTCTATATAGGCTGAGGCATTGGCCGCTAGAAGAATAAAAATGTTTCATATACTTTTCAGAAGACTGGTGTTTTATTTGGTTATTGGCAGACAATTTGGTCTTTTATGGTAATGGTGGAATTTTATGCATGATGCTCATAATTGTTAGTAATCTTAATTAAATATACTCAGTTGGTCAAGGCCCATTTGGACTCATTCCACTTTTTTTCATGCTATTTGTAAATATAGTTTTACAGCATTTCTTTAGTTAGTAACTCAGAAGTTTTTCAGCCCAATGTATGTATACTTTGAAAGCTGGGAAAAAAATTAAGAAGTTGAACAAATTGGATAATCATTTTATCTTTCCTTTGATTTTACCAAGTAATAAACCAAACCAGGTAATGTTAGTATACTATCCTTGTGTACATAATATTAAGAATCCTGCTAAAGTTAATTGGAAACATTCAAGAAATGAAGTGTGCCTACTAGAAAAAGTTTAGTATGTATTCACTTTGAGTTTAGAGAAACCTAGGTAATGTACATATTCGCACTTATATGAATACTTTTGTTTCTTTTCCAGTTTTTTGTGTTCTTTTTTCCAGAATTCTCTGTTTCCTTGTTTTATAGTTTTACCATTTCTGTTTTTCTCTGTAGTCATCTTTGTTTCTGGTTTTATTTGGAAATAATATTTAAGCTACTTGTTTAGAATATTGTTTGATCAACCTGCTGAAACCACCTAATTTTTACTGGTTAGTTTCATAAACTTATAAGGGGAGCTATTTTCTAAACTTAGTAAGTGGCCATATTACAAAGGAAAACATGCTATCTAGCTTGAGTGATCAACTTTCAAAGAACTTATTTGTTTTAAATGTGTCACACAAAATATAATATACTTGGCATGGAACCTAAATTAAATGCCATTTAATCTTTGATAATTGAGAAGAACTGATATTCTTGCTTTTGAACATCACTTAGTATTATAATGCACACATGCCAAGTGCTGGATGATAAAGGGTTCATTGTCAGAGTTTTGCTGAGTGGGGACCTCCTAGTTTGTGGTGGGTAATCTACTAGAAGACGCCGTTTACAAGAACTGTTTGAAATCTGGATATCTTACCTTCCTGCTTTTAAAAATTAATTATTGCTATTACAAGGAACTATTATAATGAGTTTCCAGTATAGCTAGGGATCAGTATTTATGCTTTCTTGAACATTATGAAAAATGAAAGCATCAGAAAGTATAGAAATAAAAGTAACTCGAACTTTTGGGCCTTATTCTTGAATGATTTCTTCTCTCCATAAAGTATTGATTCTTTAGCTCATACTGAAAGGTCAAAGATAATCTCTGGGTGTTTACTATTTCGTTTTGTTGTCCCAACTTTATTTTTCTTTAAGACCTAGGTTTCAGTGTAGAAAGAGCTGCATATATTTTTCAGCATACAAAGGATCTAATATTTAAACTTATCCTTCAAAGAATCTATTATTGTTTATTGAATAGATGCCTCTACAGAACTCTCGCTTAAAACCCTGTGCTATTTGAAACTCTTTTTGCTAATATAAAATATTGATGAAATTTCAGTTGAATGCACTATGCTTGAGGACGGGGTATTGCTTTTATGATAAGATACGCAGGTTCTTATTAGTATGTTCTAGTTTGAAGAGCCTTATTTTTAATTCTTGGTTTCATTTTTCTAATTATCTGGCTTTCCCACGTGACAGAGTCCTGACTTCTCTTCACATACACTACATCTGACCCTATTCTCTCCACCTCTCTTTTGCTAATAATCTTATTTCTATGCTTGTAACAGAAAAATAGATTTAATACTAGCCCCACCCCAAGGCTGTAAAAAATATGAATAGCAAGACCTCCTAGATTTGAGAATGTCTTAATTTACTTTCAAGTCTGTTTACATTGTCGTAAATATTTCAAGCACATTATCTTTACTGTAAGATTGATGTTTACATGGATAAGGACTTACTAGTTCCTCTTAACAGGGTTTTTTGTTTTATCTGAAACCTGTAAGCTGATCAGTAGAGTGCTTTTTCAGTGGTCCATCTGATGGGACAAGCAGTCGGCTTGTTTTTTATTACTAGTGACTGTCATTTAGTATATACGTCATGTCAGCACACTGTAAATTTTATGCACAATATCTTTAATCCTAAGCAAACTTGTAAGTTGTTACCCTTGTTTCACAGGTGAAGAAACTAAGTCTTAGAAAGGTACATGTTACATGATTGATCCAAGCCTGTATGGTCACAAATTATAGATCCAGAAACTGGTATTTTTTCATTATACTGTGCTGCCTGAGGAATTGCAAAATGTTAGTAGTATGCACTAACATATCATTTCACCTAATTCTGTTATTACGTTTGATTTGTATATATCTGACTGTATGTCTGATTGTTCCTATACCTTTCTTAAGAAAGGCAGATATGACAGAATTTTGCCTTATGTAGATAAGTTTGAGAATGGCTTCAAACTGCACAGTAATAACAAAAAAACTTTGTTCTTTACAAGGGAACAGCGTTCTTTTAAATTTTGTTTTTTATATATATATTATATATTAACATATATTATACATATAATACATATAATAATATAGTTAAAATAGAATAAAAAGATAAGATAATTTTGGACTGGAATAAAATTTCAATAGATTTTGCTTTTTTTAGTCTTTTTCATATCTTCTCAAAACTTAGAAAATATTTTAAAAATTGGTATAGTATTTAAATTCAGTTATGATATTAAATTATGAAAGACAAGGATGAAAGACTGTGAGCGTATCTTTATCTTCAAAAGCTACATCATAGTATAGGAATATTGATTATTGCTGCTTAATTCTTACTGACTTAAAAAAACAAATGATAGAGGGCATGGTATTTACTATTAAGTTAAAGAAGTGAAGTTGAGAAAGTTTAAATATATAAACTCAGATTAAGCTTATGAAGAGATCTTTATTTTAATGCCAGCATATTATTATGAGATTTGCCTGGAATTATGCCAGGTAGATTTATCAAGACAACTTATATTTGTTTGCTTCCCTAATGGTATCTTCATATTCCAGGAAACCGTTTATGTTAACAGAATAGAGATGTAAGAAAATAGCCCACTTTTTTATAGTTATGAAATAAAGAATTCTGAGAATGTAGAGTTTGTGCAGTTGTACATTGAAAATACGTTAAATTTTACATATATATGTGTATATACACACATTCGTATAGCAACTTTTTTCTGTTTTAAAATGCAAACAATATGATGAAAGATTTAATTAGTTTTGTAAAACAGGCTCTAAATGAATACTTTTGAAAAGAAAAATTTGAAAGTTTTGGTGAAGGTTAATTTTAATTTTGTTTTCTTTTTTCTTTTTCTCCCCAAATCCCTCCAGTACATGGTTGTGTATTTTAGTTGTGGGTCCTTCCAGTCGTGACATGTGGGACGCTGCCTGAGCATGGCCCGACAAGCGGTGCCATGTCTGTGCCCTGGATCAGAACCAGCAAAACCTGGGCCACAGCAGCAGAGTGCATGAACTTAACCACTCGGCCACAGGGCCAGCCCCTAATTTTAATTTTAATTTAATTTTTTTTTTTGAGGAAGATTAGCCTTGAGCTAACATCTGTGCCTGTATTCCTCTATTTTATATGTGGGACGCCTGCCACAGCATAGCTTGATAAGTGGTGGTGCATAGGTCTGCACCTGGGATCTGAACTGGCGAACCCCAGACCGCTGAAGCAGGGTCCCCAAACTTAACCACTACACCATTGGGCCAGCCCCAAGATTTATTTTTTTTAAGTGACAAAAGCCATTGTTTTAAAGTTGACATTACTTAAATTTTAAAAATCCTAAGCAAGTTAATTTTGAAACAATACATTAAAAGTTTCAGAAAGCGGGCCGGCCCTGTGGCCAAGTTCGCACGCTCTGCTTCAGCAGCCCAGGGTTTCGCAGGTTCAGATCCTGGGCGTGGACGTGGCATCGCTCATCAGGCCATGCTGAGGTGGTGTTCCACATGCCACAACTAGAAGAACCCACAACTAAAATATACAACTATGTACTGGGGGAATTTGGGGAGAAAAAGCAAAAAAAAAAAAGTTTCAAAAGGTAACCATACTGCATTATTGTATAAATGTGCAGTTATAATAATGATGCCTGGCATATACTAAGTAATTATTACTGCTCTGCTTTACGTACATTATGTCATTTAATCCTTATAACAACCCTTAGAGTACTATTATTTTTCTTATATTATGGGTGAAGAAACTGAGCCTTTGGAAAGCTAGGTAACTTGGTTAAACTCATATAGCTGATAGAAGAGCAAAGTTTCAAACCTAGGTCCGACTCCAAAACTCATGCTCGTAACTGCTTCATTATAGTACTTCTGCTTTGTGTTAAATACTTAAAATGATTTCAAAACGTTAAAAATCTCACTCAAGTCAGATGTAATTTAAAGGAAATTTAATGATTAGTCTTCAGCATGCATCACTAGGTTAGTGGTAATCTGGATACAGTTAAGAAAGCTTGGTAGAACTTCAGTATATCATTTAGTTCTTTCTCTATTCAGGCAGAACTTGACTGAAGTACTCCATATCAGTTATCTTTTTCTTTGAGACCTTCCTCAACATTTATTTCTAGGGTCTAATAATTCATATTAGAAAATTATGCAACTTAAATTTCTTTGTTTGCCTGGAGATGGAAAACAGTCATCTTTCATTTAAACCATACATCGTTTTGGAGAAACGAGTACCAAGTTACCAAGTAAAAGTTTAGCCAATGTAATTTATTCCAGAAAGTGCTTAATTGTCCAAATTTCAAATTTTGAAGGTAAACTAGGATATTATGGCACAGCCTCAGAAAAATGATGGACTCTGACAAAAGATGTTTTTGCTGTTTTTGGTAGGCAGTTGTATGGGCAAAAACAGTGAGACTTTTCAGATGTTTCTCAAGGGATTGCCTATTAAATTTTTCTTAACCTGGCATTCATTGAGGAGAAATGGAAGATATATAAACACCAGCATTTAAATTCAAGTGGAAAGTGTTTTCAGGAAAAGTCATTACACATTTGGTTATTAGAAGCCCAAAATAATATATAACCTTAAAGAGTAATAAAGATGTCTTTCCTACATGAAAAAAAATCAGACCGCGAAAAGTATCGGTAATCCAAAAAAAAAAAGCTCTTTAAGAAATAGATGTTACATTGTACCAGTTAAATTGTTTTTCCAGGGATTTAGGTTGTAATTTTAAGGCTGCTTTTTTTCCTTTGGTTTTTGGATTGCTCTTTATGTGCTTTCTAATATGTTAGCTTAAGTTCTGCCCACCCCCGTCCTATCTGAAGTAGCGTATGTTATTCTTAAATATGTAAATGCAATGGGGGAGCTCCCTTTTAAAAAAAATTCTTTGATGAAATCTTTCTCAAAGCAGAGAATCTTTCTGTAATGCGTTTGGTTACCAAAAATGAGGATTTTTTAGGGTCAAATGGAATTCCCACTTACTTGTAGCTTCTTTTGGAGTCTTTTTTTTTTTAAGTTTTGAGTTTCCTTCAGTTCTCCCTCAGTATGTATAACATGGCCCTTTTTGTATACAACCATGAAAAAGAACAGTGGACTAAGAGAAGACTGGCCAAATTGTTGATGTCATTTAGCATTTTAGTAGAGTAGGTCTCACAGCTCTTCAGTTATAATGTAACAATTGCTGACCTTTTTCTTTAAATTATTGAACAAAATAAAATTTTAAAGGAGGTTCAAACAGTTTTAAATTTCAGGTAAGAAAATGACTCTTCTATTTCAGCATCAGTGTAAATTGAATGCTTATTGTGCTAGGTGCTAGAAATAAAAATTAGTAAGAAGCTTTCAGAGCAGAAGCTATTAAACAATGACCCACTTTTTTTCCTTGTCATTTGATCTTTTTGTTTAATTTCCCAGAAAATAATATTTATATTTTACAATTTTAAATAATGTTGTCTAAATCCAGTTTTACACTTAACAAGTTAGACAAAAGGTGGCAGAGATGGTATACCTGCTATTCCTTTTGCTTTTACTCTTAGTATAAATTGAGCCTTCTCTGCTATTCCCCCTAGTCTTAAAGACAATTAGGATTCCTACCTGCATCTTTTAATGTAATATTAAATCTGTTAGAAGTATAAGGGGAAGTCCCAAGTTTAGGAGTGTCAGCTTTATGAATTGTGTGGGTGGAGCAGAATTTTTCTTCTGAGAGAAAGATGATAATTTTTTGGTAGTTATAAATTATTGATAGAATTATAGGTAATGGGCAGGGGAGGGGATTTTTTTACTCCTTTGTTTTTGCTGATGACTTTTGAAGACTACTGTTAAATAGATGCACTACCCTATTTCTCTGTATTGCAACTTAGTTATTTGGGGAGCCTCCATTTTTTTTTAATGTTGGAGTTATTTAGACATTGCTAACTGAATTGATATCTATAAACCCAAAGTTGATCTGTTAGATAGTTGGGAACCTTAAGTGTAGTTGTCATTCTGCTGCTTAACCAATTGCTGTTTTTTTTTAACCTGTTTCTACTCTGATGACAAAGGGAAATATAGAAAATCCTTCTAGGGGCCGGCCCGGTGGTGCAGCGGTTAGGTGCACACGTTCCGCTTCTCTGCGGCCCGGGGTTCGCCGGTTCAGATCCTGGGTGCGGACATGGCTCCTCTTGGCACACCATGCTGTGGCAGGCGTCCCACATATAAAGCAGAGGAAGATGGTCACGGATGTTAGCTCAGGGCCAGCCTTCCTCAGCAAAAAAGAGGAGGGCTGGCAGTAGTTAGCTTAGGGCTAATCTCCTCAAAAAAAAAAGAAAAAAGAAAATTCTTCTTGAGGACACTATGCACATTACCTTAGAAAGATTATTTTCTAACATAAGAATATGGATTGCTTGAGAATCTCTATAGTTCATTTAGGATGTTTTAGAGCCAGAACTTACTGCCAATAGAGGAAAGATCAGATGTGAAAATGAATGACATACCATAGGCAAAAATAGTAAATATCCATTAGTAGTTTTCCTAATAAGTGTGTTGTTTGGGTCTGGATTGCAAGCAAATGGTACCTTTCTTTATGAATAGTGTGGTAAAAGTTTGCTGAATATTGCTTGCTGGTATGATTCCTATCTTCCTACTTTTCCTGGCCCTCTTTGTCTTTTCAAGTTTAATTCATGTCGAATGTCTGTCTTCTCATCCCTCTAAGATACAAAATACAAAAACGAAATTAAACAATTAAAAAAATCTTAAAATCAGTATATGTACTATTCATATATTAAAGTTACTTTTATGGCCTTTGACAGAAATTTTAAGTGGCAGTTAGAAAAAACTCTTACCTTGTGCTTGATATAGCTTGCATAAAGTATAGCTGCTCCTTGTAGATATAATTAAGAAAGAGATACATTTATAAAGCTGTGTATTATTGGATGGAATCTTGGTATGTACAGTAAGGTTTTATTTATGAATTAGAAAATCTTTTGCTACCATAGGGATCATTTGGTTAACTGAGTGATATACCTCAGCCAAGGATTAAAATATCTTAGTTTTTCCAGACACTGATGAAATCTTTAGTGGGAGAAAATCTTTAAATATCTAAATCACCAACATAAAGAAAATTTCTTCTTGCTTCTTCAGAAAGCCTTAGGTCAGGATTAATAAAGTTTTTAGTGTATGTTTTAAGTGGGTTTACATTTTCCCCTCTTTCTTTTTGACAGGAATCTTTCAGTCCTGCTATACAGTTGCACCTTGTACATCAAGCACCATGTAATGTTCCTCCTTACCTCTCAAAGAATGAATCAAGTCTTGGGGACCTCTTACTGGGCTTTCTTAAATATTACGCTACAGAATTTGAGTAAGTGAAACTTCAAATTGTGTTTATTCATTCACATATAAGTGAATGCTACAAATTTGGTCATAAGCTGTATTTATGAATTTCAATGTTGTAAACTTGTCCAGAAGTGTGTAGTTTATAAAAATTAATATCTAATGATTATTATAAACTAAAAGATTGCATATTCCTAGCTAGTAAAAAAATTATAGTTCAGTAAGCTAAATTTTAGTTGATTTCAGTAGTGATCTCATTTTATGTTTAGTAGGGCCTAAACAAATGTTTGTGTTGGTCCTACGTAGGTGCTGTATTGTTTGGAATGTCTGTTTTTTAAGAACTTAAAATTTATAGTGAAAAAACACAGCTAAGGCAAACTTGGGAAAAGATCTGCTTAATACTTGATATCTGAATAAATAGTCGTGTTAGTATGATATACAAATCAAGAAGTACACCTTTTCCTTTTTTTTTTTGAGGGTGATGTGTAAACATGAAACCTTAAAGTGTGTAATCAGACTGGACATAACTGAAAGTTCTTATGGAAGTTCTTAGTCCACATAGAGTCGGATTATGGGTTGTTCATAGCTTTTCTGATTAATTTAGAAAAACTTGAAGTAGAGGGAGAACTTAGGAGTTGTACAAAGTTAGAGGAGAAGGGTACAGTGACCATAGGGTACCACTTTGAAGAGGTTTGGAGAGAGGAATAATGAGAGTATAGTAATACACTGCAATTACTAGGTGGGAAAAACTATTCTAAACATATTATGTGTCTTATCTCATTCGGTTTACATCATAACCATATGAGATGGTGTTAGATTATGCCCATTTTGCCAGTGAGGCATGTAAAGAGATAAACTTGCCCCAAGAACCCACAGCCAGTAAGGGGAGTATTTCAGATAGTTTTGACTGCAAAATTCACACTTTTGCCTATGATACTTTACTGCAATGTTGGTATTGTCTTATCTGCTATGGTATGATAGCTCCAAGAAACCTGATTCTTATAAGATGATTTGAAACACAGGGCATGAAAGAACAAACGTTGTTTAAATTCCTCAAAGTAAAGCTTATACCAGACTGTTTGTGCCTGTGTTCTTTACAGTTGTATCTCCAGTACCTAGCCCAGTGCTGGATAGTGGGTATTTGAAACATGCTTCTTATAAATAAACAATTTTGAAGCAGAGAGTAAGATTATAGACATAATTCAAAGATCCATAAGATGACTTAAAGATTACTGAATTAGGTTAGGAAAAGTGCTGGAGGAAGGTAGGTTAGTGAGAGTGAAGAAATCATAATCCAGGTTGAAAATGGCCAGGACCTGAATGTAGGTCTGGGCAACAAGGATAAAAAGGAAGGAACTTTCATTTATATAAAGATGAAGAAAGATTTAAGACTATATGAGACATGGGACGTAAGACACAGTGAAGGTTATTCTACAGTTAAGATTTTTAAGATGTTGCAAGAACAATAGTTACTGTTTAGTGAGGATTTACCTAGTATCTTACAGTATGCTGAGTGATTCCTGCATATTATCATATTTCATCCTCACAGTAAACCCCAGTCAAGCTGAGAGAATTTGTGTACTTGAAATTTGCCCATGGCAGTACAGCTAGAGAGTGAGAGAACTGGGATTCAAATTCAGATCTGACTCCAAAACCACATTCTTAATTGTTACACTGTATTGGCATCGTCTCTTGTGTCATATGAATTAGGCATTGGGGGAAGTTTATAGATAGGGAAAAGGATTCATAGAAGAAAGATATATTTCTGCCATGTATAGTTTAGGATTAGAGCATCTACATGCAAATAGCTTGAAAATTACTTGCTTTGTTGAACTGAGACAAGATGATAGATATGCAGGTTTGTGTGTTAGGTTAGTATTAACAGAAACCAGCTTGCTGTGCCAAATGATACTGGCTAGGATGCTGATGCTTGGAAAGAGGTTTTGAACTTTTGGATGCCTGTGTTAGCACTATGATACATGATTTAGGAGACATCTTTGCCTGTTCTTTCATCATAGAGTGCATTCGTCAAGTGCATTGTTGTTTCTTACCAGATATTTTCAGAAATGTGACTGTCACGAGCACAGCCAAGAATGTAGTCATGGTAATGGACTAGGTGCCGTGCAGAAGAATTCTGGCAGCTGTTAGAAATGTTTGTAAGGATTTCTTCTGAACTTTGAGATATTCAATTAAAAAATTCTCTTTACTTGAAGACAGAATTAAGGGCCTGTTAAGGGATGCTTGAGTATACAGTATAAGTGTTGCAGGAATTTTATATGACTATTTAAAAATTACTAAGAGTTTCTTCCCTACTTCACTCACAGCTTTCTCCTAAATCTTGCTGCTAAAAAATTCTTCAAATGAACCTAAGCTTCTAGAATTGTACCTGGGTATGGGGAACTGACAAAATAGGGGGAAAAAAAAGATCAGGTGGCTCAAGGAATCTAGAAAAAAATATAGTCAGAATGTAATAATTTTGTATTTTAGCAAAACAAAAGAAAAATTTAAGTTGTAAATATCGTACAGACTCATGGATACTGGGAAGATTCTAAGAACCCTAAAAGGTACATATTTTATAATCCTCTTTATTCCCTGGATGCCTAATCACATGTAATTACTGCTAGTCTAGCTGCTGAATTAAAAATACATATCTGCATATTTAAACACATACATTTTTTAAAAAAGGACATTACAAATTATTACCTGTATTGCATTTTAATATCTAGCATGATGAGGGAAAGTCCCACTGAAAAGGTGACCTTTGAATAAAGACCTGATGGAGAGGAAGGTGTGAGCTTCGTGTCTGTCTGGGAGAAGAGCTTTCCAAACAGAAGGCAAAGCATGTGCAAAGACCCTGTGGTGGGGTTTTCTAACATGTTCAAGTAACAGAAAGGAGGCCAGTGTGACTGGAAGAGAATAGAAGGAAATGATGTCAGAGAATTAAGGAAGTCCACATCATGTAGGGGCTCATAGTTAATTTTGATGACTTTGGCTTTTCCTCTGGGTGATATGGGAAATCACTGGAGGGGTTTCAGAAGGGAAATGGTGTAATCTGATTTAGTTTATAACAGGAAAGAATAGACTGGCTGCTGGGTAAGGATAGAATGAAGGGAGCCAAGGGCAGAAGCAGAGAGACTACTTAGAGGTTATTGTAATAATCTAAGAGAAATGTGGCCTGGAGAATGGTGGTTGTAGTGGAAGTGGATGAGAAGTGGTCAGGTTCTGCTTATATTTTGATTTGTAGCAGATTAGATGGGGTGTAAGAGAAGGAGAAGAGTCAAGAATGACTTCTAAGTTTTTGGCCTGAGCAATTGAAAGGATGGAGTTGCCATTAGGTGTGATGGAGAAGACAAGGGAGGAACATTATTGATTTTGAACATCTTAAGATTGAGATACAAAATATTTAAGTGAGGATATTGAATAGAGAGTTGGATATGCAAATCTAGAGTTCGGGAGAGAGGTCATGATTAGAGCTATGTATTTGGGAGTTGTCAGCAGATAGATGGTATTTAAAGCTATGAAACTGTTTGAGAACACCAAGGGAATATAGATAGAAAAGAGAAAAGGCCCAAAGACTAAAACCCTTAGATGCTCCAGTGTTAAGAGACTTATGGGAGGATATGGGAATATGTTAAATGACACAATGAAAGAGACAAATTCGGAATGTAGGAATGTAGGTATTCTGTGAAACAACTGGCTTAGTCTCTTAAAAAGTCAGTATCATTTAAAAAAAAAAACATGGAAGGAACTTTTCCAGGTTAAAGAGAGGAAACAATCAAATACAATGCATGAACCTTGATTATAATCTGATCAGGGTGGAGGAATTATAAAAGGCGTTTGAATTACTGTTAATTTCTAGATACTGTTGGTGTTATAAAAGAGAATGGCCTTATTCTTAGTAGACATATACCAAAGGATAAAGGAATAAAATTTCATTATGTCTCCAGCTTAACAAATGGTTCAATTCAAAACATACACATACACACACACACACACACAAGCAAATGTGGGCAGTGTTAATAACTGGTGAACTGTTTTTGAGTTTTATGCTTTTCAGTTTTTCTCTTTGAAAAATTTCATAATACAAAGATGAAATAAAAATGGGATTAGAGATTAGAAGGAACAAATATATAGTCTAAAAAGGAAGAATCATTGAGATAGGAGGAAGGCCAATAGAATGTGGTGTCTTGGAATCCAAGGGAAAAAATGTTTCAAGGAGGAGAGAGTGATTTATCTGTGTCACATTTTTTGATAGATCCAAGTACACAATGAAAACGAAAAGCTGACCATTGGAGCATGGGTCTACGTGGATGCTACTAGACCCTTAACAGGAGCAGTTTCTGTGGAAGAATAGGGATAAAAAGCATGACTGGTGTGGACTCAAGAAGAACGGGAGGGGAAGAATTAGATACAGTTAGTGTAGTATATGCAAACTCTAGGAGTTTACATGCTTGTAAAGGGGAGCAGAAAAAATAGGGTAGAAATTGGAGGATTAAGTGGGGTTGAGTTTTTTATTTTCTTTTTAGAAAGAAGAAACAAACCATCTTGATGGCAAAATTGGTGATACCAGAAAAAGACATAGTAAATTGTTGAACAGTATACTTGTTTGGGTCAAGAAGGGTTGGAATCTAGAGCACAAGTGGAAGAGGAGCACTGGTAATTCATTAATAATAATGAGAAAAAGCAGACTATGTGGATACAGAAAGTGAAGGTGAATCAGTGTGGTGGGAGCTAATGGAAATTATCTTTTGATTGGTTTAGGTTTTTTTTTTTTAGTGAAAAGAAGCATAGACGTCAGCTGGGAATGATTGTGAGGGAGGAGATTTGAGAAGTGAGGAGAAAGTATGAATTGTCATGTTAGGAGAATAGAGGAATGAATTAATTTTGGAAATATGATGGGTGGGTAGTTAGCATTTAGGATCCTTTCGAGCTAAGTCATCATGAATTTAAAGGTCAGCGTGGTTGCATGTTTTTCTCCACCCATCTGTAGCTACAAGGGAAGGGATTGGAGTAAACAAAGATTTAATTATGGTTGTGTTTCATCCAAGTAAGTTCAGTGCAGCAAGAGGGGATAAGAGAAGTGAGGGGATATACAAGGAAGTGATTTTAATAATTGACCATGGACAGAATGTATTAAATTCAGTCTTGAAAATGTGAGCACAGGGATGCATGTAGAACATCCAGGTGGCAGTTCTTTTTTTTTTTTGAGGAAGATTAGCCCTGAGCTAACTACTGCCAGTCCTCCTCTTTTTTTGCTGAGGAAGCCTGGCCCTGAGCTAATATCCTGCCCATCTTCCTCTACTTTATATGTGGGACGCCTACCACAGCATGGCGTGCCAAGCGGTGCCATGTCTACACCCTGGGCCGCCGAGAAGCAGAATGTGCGAACTTAACCGCTGCGCCACCGGGCCGGACCCCAGGTGGCAGTTCTAATAGTTAGTTGTAAATATTGGCCTGCGGCTTAGGTAGAAAGGTCACAGCTGGAGAAAATGATATGGGAAAGAAACATCTGAGGATTGAGGCCTGAGATGGGTGCTCTAGCATTAGAAGAAGATTGAAAGGGGCAAGGCCCTGGTGGACATCGGCAGTTAAGGATCAGGCAGAAGAAGAGCCAGTCAAAACAAAACAAAACTCTTAGGATTAGAGTACAGTTTTCTCTCTCTAAAGAAGTTTGAAATCCCTGACAAAGTTTTCTTTTTGTTTTCTTCCCAGCTCTTAATAATAAAACAAAACTATATACAATAATCTGTTCACTTAATTTGACCCATCTTAATATACAGCTGTATGGTATCAGACCCATAATTTTGCCTTTGTTACACTTAAATTTTTCTTTGTAATATTGCTGAAGACCGCATTTCCAATTTAATCAATCATCTCAAGATACTTTGTCCCAAAAAGAGTGGCCAGAAGAGAGTTAATAGATGAGTCCATTATCATTACTGAAGAAAAGAAGCAAGCATCTTACTAATATAGAGGTAGTAATCTCAGTTTTATATTCAAAAGATTCATGTCTTATCAAATCTATTTTAGATTATATTAGGCCCCATGTCTGTTCTTCTGTTCTTTTCTGAAACATCCCTCTTTTATAGATTATCTTATTTTACACTTTAATTATTGAGTGACTACAACAGATTTTGACATGGCAAGCAAATTATGGTAGAGAAATATAGTATAATAAAAGGCTTAGTGTAGCTCCTATCTGTTGTAAAGAATGAAATATTTCTATTACCATTTGAATTCTACATTTAAATTCACCTCTAAGAGTAAAGATAGTATACAAGTTATATATCATGTTTTACGATTTGAAGTATTTAATAATTTAGAAGTATTTGAAAATTCTTTGAAAATGCAATAGGTTGTCAGTCTAAATGATAGTGATTAAAAATATTCTCTTTTTTCCTCTGAAGTACTTCAAATGATATAGTTATTTAAATAACTGTATTATTTGGGTTGATTGTAGGTTGGAGCTTAAATGATATCTGGTTAGGGATGATAAAGTCAATATAAGTGTGCCACATATATTTCTGTAACCCAGTTTAGAACCAAGTACTGGCATGTAATATAAATTCGGGACTGGATTTAATAGAGAGAGAGTGGTGAGGAGAGTTTCTTTGGTTGAAGGAAGTAAAAGTTGTAATTTAACAGCAGGGTATAGTATTTTAATATCCTAAACTCATCTGAAAGAAGAAATCAGTCTATCCCCTTTTGACATCATGTTTCCGATTTTAATTCTACTGCAGATTCAGCTGTCCTATAAATTGATGTTAGAAACAAGTAGTCTCAGGAAAAAAGTTCATTTTATTAGTAAAATTTGTCTTCAGTGGTATGAAGTGAAGTAGCGCAAAGTGTAATTGTATTGTAATCTTGTTTGGGTCGGGCGTCTGGTTCTATAACTCTCTCCTTTACATCGTTATTGTAAAGAAGGTGTTGGAAACACACTTGCATCAATAGAGCAGTGTACTGCTTTTCTATTGGAGTCCACACTAACGGAGCTGCTGTGCATGAAGGTTCTAAAACATCTCACTGTAACCAATACTGTTTCTCTTTAACAACTCACTCGTTTTTAAAAAGCAGAAATTCTGATGTATATTTTTAAATAACTTAAAACTGTTTTTGCAAAGTGTTTCTAAACTGTACTCTTGAGGAGAAAAAATAGAAAATCATACTTTAGGGATCCTTTCGCTTATCAAACTCCACAAGATGCAGTATTTTCTTGCATGTTTAACCTAGAAATTAATTTTCCAGAAACAAATGCCATACTTGACCACGATTACATTCTTATGGGTTCTCTATGTGATAAATACAGGAAGAGGAGGATGAATGTTGGAATTGGAAGGTCCCAAACCATGGTCTTTCCGTTCTTACTGAAATGGTGAAGAAAGCTGATAAATACGGCTCAATAAAAGATATCAGCTATTCCCCAAACTCGTTTTTCCCTTGCATACAAGCTGAGTGGTCATATGTTTTAGAATGTTCCTTGAAAAAAAGAAAATTGTACTTTACAAAACAATTATAATTGTGAAGAAATTTTTAAAAAGCAGAATGTAAGGTTACTACATACTAAAGACTGGATAATTTACTTTCAGTCATGCTGATGGCATTGTTTTACTTTAATAAAACTTCACTGTTAACAGCTACGTCTAATATACAACGATAACACTATGTTTTCATAGAGTATTTTGTTTTCTTAAAATAGCAGCCGATACCTTTATTGGAATATTTCAAATTTTTTTTCCCAAATCATACAAACAGAGATGTACTTGAACAAGAATTATTTTGTGATAACCAGAAAACAACACCAAAAGGTTACCTCTCTCTTAACAAATAAAAAATTGTTGGGCCAGCCTTGGTCTCTTGGTGGTTAACTTTGGCATGCTCTGCTTCAGCAGCCTGGGTTCAGTTCCCAGGCATTGCCTATACCACTCTGTTAGCAGCTATGCTGTGCTGGTGGCCCATGTAACTAAAAAATAGAGAAAGATTAGCATGGATGTTAGCTCAGGGTAAATCTTCTTCAACAATAACAAAAAAACCCCCAAAAAACACTTCCTCGGGTATTGACAATGAACATGGTTTTTATGTTTTTTGCTTACTTACGCGTTCTTATTTTTCATATTACTTCATTTACTCCTTAAATATGTATTGAATGCCTAGTGTCTACTAAGCAACTAGTTGAACAACGAAAAAAATATGTAAATAACTCAGCATCTTGAAGCTTTCATTCTGCTTGTGGGAGACACACAATATACAATAACATAATAAATAGGCAAATTGCTAGAATATAAGTGCTATGGAGAAAAAAGAAGTAGAGAAGAGGAAATGGGGATTGTGGTGCTGAGAGTTGAGGCAAGTTTCAGTATTCTATGAGAAAATCAGAGTAGGCCTTACTACTGATATGGTAAAAAAAATAAAAGGAAAATTAAGAAAAGAGTTAACATGATTGATGTTTTTCTTCTTATAGCTGGAACAGTCAAATGATTTCAGTTCGTGAAGCCAAAGCCGTTCCCAGGCCTGATGGTATTGAATGGAGAAATAAATATATCTGTGTAGAAGGTAGCTTTCCCACAGCTCCTCTCTATTTACCATCCTGTTATCATGGTACTGAGAGAATTACTTGAACAATTTCAGCTTATATTTCAGTTAAAAGTAATACGTTTGTGTTCTGAAGTGGTTTACGAGTCTTTTCGTTATAAAATTTTAATTTAATTTTTAAAAATAATTTTAAATTCTTTAGTTGTAAGAAATAATCAACAAGAATTTAGGTGTTTAATCTTTCCAGGTTTAAGATTTGAGCCTGTTTGTGCATCCCTAATGCTTATAGTTGATTGAGACTTAATTTCATTATCTACAGGTGGAAGAAAATATCTTCTTATGATGATTCTTATTGAAATAAAATGAGTTCCTTTATACTTAAAATATTGATACTTAATACAAGCTAGATTTTTATGAATAGAAATTGATTTTAATTTAAGTATTAAGTGCTCTGAAGATATTCTATTCTCTAAAATTAATTTGCATGTAATTGAATCTTTCTTTGAGTCAGTGGGAAACTGACTTCAAGAGGCAAAATTGTTCTCACAGATGCCAAGTTGATGACTTTTGTAAATCTTGAGGTAAAAAAGAATAAAGGTTTGAGATTCAGCATTTGTAGGAAAACATCAAATTTAGAATATTTTAATCTTGGATTAACGTGTTAAGAGTTTGTGAATATGAAATAAATCTCCTGCTTTTGTGTTTGGTTTGCTGAATTGCACAGTGGGTGTATATTATTTTAGTTACCTGTGTTCTTTTGAATATTGAACACTGTTGTAAAGTGCAATGCGTGATGTGATCCGATAGTTTGGCGTATGGCATTGTTCTATTTAAAAAACCCAGCACTGTAACAGTAAACTCCTTTTTAAAATAGCCTTTCTAAGCAATAAAAAAAAAATAAAAGGAGTTTTTAAGATTATGGGCCTGCTTGGATTATATGACAAATCTAAAGCTAACCTCTGCATTCGATTTCCTATTCTTTCACACTTTTTCCAGATCTTTCCCCTCAGTTACGTTTCCTCTTTCTAGTAACTTCATTCTTTCTCTCTAGTTCCTCCCTTTCAGCTTTAAGGCCTACGTAAGTCTTCTCGTCCTTGAAGGATACTCTTGACTTGATCCTACCAGCTTTTCTAAATACTTTCTTTTTTCTCTTTTTCAATACCAAAATTCTTAAACTCTAGTCATTTTTATCTACTGCTGGCATTATTTCAGGTACCCCATCTCACTCCTAAGGCCTTTAATTATCCTCCCTTTCTCACTGTTATCTTTGGGTTCCTTGTCCTTTTGTATAGAGACAGTTTCCTTGTCTCTTATGTGTGGACTCTTCTCTCTTATCTTATGGGTGATGATGAGTGTGCTGGGGGTGAAGACATGGAAGGTAATGTTGGAGACACACATAAAAACTCTTCCTTTGTTTTCTTCCTGTCTTCTCTTCTTGCTATACTGCTTTTCTTTCTTCTTTCACTGCCAGATTTCTCATTCAAGTTACTGTTCCCACTGTATCTTTTTCTAAATCATCCATTCACATCATAATCTCTGCAGTGTCTTCCATCCTCACCAGTATTAAATTTCTACTTTCAAAGGTATTGACCTTTCTCCTGCTGGACAAATCAGTGGTCTTTTAAATTAAATTTAAATTTAAAATGACCTTCCTGTGATCTTTGACATTGACCACTTCTCTTGGATATAGTGCTTTATTCTTTTTGATAACTCTTTCTTCTTAAACTTATTTTTATTCCCCTAAGGGTAGGTTC